AAAATTCTGATAATTGTACCACGGTCCTCCTCCTAGCCCTGAAAAGGACCGACAGACGGCCTCCTCCCCCACCCAAAATTTTTAGCCCTAGTGCTTTATCCCACCCAACGCATCCTCGAACGTGCCGCTGCCTGATTTTCTAAGCTTAATGTATGCTCCAGACTTGGTCAAACCAAATCCAGGACAAACTATAATACTCACGAATATGTACATCCCTCACCAAGCAGCGGGGTTGAAGAGAAGCGGAAAAAAGCTTCTGAACACCCCCGGTTGTCCTCAAACACGTTGAGGTTGAAAGAACGTAACCAAAATTACCATCCAGAGTATAAGTAAGTCTGTGCTGGGACTGTTGCTATTAATTACTTACATTAATGACATTGAAGTGGACAGTCGAGAATTTGGTTAAGTTTGCTGAAAATTTTTTAAAGTTTGGGTGACTATGATTTACAGTCTTAGATGTTGGTTAGTTGTGCAAACACATGTTTGGTAGTATTTAATTATGATGATTGTAAGGTTATGCATGTGGTTACTGTCTTAGATTGGTTGGTTAGTTTCACACATGTATGTTTGGTAGTATTTAATTATGATGAGTGTAAGGCTATGCATGTGGTTATCATATTATTAGATACGAATTTGTGGTATTGGTTGTACAACTTGCCTTTGATATAGTGGTCTGTTGTTAGGTCATTGGTTAGACCATATTTGGAGTATTTTATTCATTCTTTTGTTCCTTACCTTAGAAAGGGTATTTAATTGTTGGAAGAGGTCTATAGGAGGGCTACTAGGATTATACCTCAGATGGAAAAACTATCATACGAGGATAAGTTAATACCTCTAAAAAAGATTCTCATGATAAAAAGAAAGTTAGAGGAGACTTGATTTGGGTGTTTAAGATTGTAAAGGGTATTAATAGTGTTGATGCATCATCTTTTTTTGTATTTATTAGTGAGAATGATAAGACTAGGGGATACAAATTTATACTTTGGCAGGGCAGAAATCATCTTCAGCAAAGACAGCTTTTTTTTAACAGGGTAATTGGCCTTTGGAATAGGTTGCCTTCAGATGTGGTAGATGCAGTTAACTTAAAGGAGTTTAAGGGAAGGCTTGATAAAGTGGATAGGGTGGTGTATATGGATCAATAGATCTCTTGTTGTCCTTAAATTATATGTTTATGTCAAGTTGTATTCTAAATGAATTGAAAATTGTCTTTTTTTGAGAAAAATTTAATGAATATCACTAGGAATGAATAATTTGTGAAAATGTTGATTGTTATAATAATAATAATGATGAGAGTAAGCTATTTCTAAAAGTAAACAGACTGAGTTTAGGTATTCTAAACAGTAGAAAGTGCAAAGGGAAATTTAGAGTAAGATGAAATGTATAATGAGTTGGGTGCAAAAAAATAAAAAGCATTAATAAGTAAAGAAATTAGTATTTTATGCAGATATTTTATCACCTGAAAATACATTTTATCATACTTTCAGTAATGGAAAATTAATTTATAATATATTTTGTTATTTTTGCAAGTAAATATTAACTAAATCTTGAAGGATTAACATTCCAGTAAACTTTAAACATGGACATTGATTTTTACAGATTACCATCAGGACATTGGTGTTCAGTGTGAACCAAACTTACATGATAAGTATCGAGGACACTGGGCAGGAATACACTTTATACATGCTAAAGCTGAAAAACGAAGATTGCATGTCTTACCAACATACCAGTGGGTATCTCTGTCATCACTCAGCTATGTTTCTGTTCTGTATGCTGGATGTGCAAGTGATGGACAGGTGACATCGGCCATAACAGTTATTGGATATCCTCCAAAACTCAGCAACCTTGATGTTCGATACTCTGCATTTACAGGATTAAACTTCACTCAGCCAGGAGAAAGCTTTGTTGTCAGTAACAGCCAGATTTCTGATAACCATGGTAAAATATATGCATCATTTTAGACAATATAATAGGTAATAGCTTAGTATGTAAAAATATTCCTGTAAATCTTTCATAGATTAGGTACAAAGTTGAGAAATATTTTGTTCATTTTAGGGATGAGGTGGTAATAGCTTGAGAGACTCCTGTGCCATTTTAGGGTTACTGAGAGTAGGGAGCACTGATAATGCTACAGAGCAGTTCATTCACCTATTAGCTTTATGCTTTTGTCTTTAATAAAGGTGTAGTGATACAGTACAAGTATTGTATCGTGAAGCCATGATATGATTGTATTGATACATTGTCCAATACAATTTATGTATCTTCCTAATATTTGGCAAGCTTTCAGGAAACATTAAAAGTCTTTTGTACAGAAAAAATCAGAATTTCTAATAAAGAATTATTGCTAAAAATTAATGATTCAATACAGGAAGATGAGTATTGAACACTCCATGTTGTCTTCATTTCTTTTATCAAAAACATTACATGCAAAGTAACATAACTAATTAACAA